TTCACATATTTTCTAGTAGGTTAATTCCGGGTGACTTGGTTAACATGCTGAATGCTGTTGGTATTGTCATAGGTCCATTTTCCCTGTTCTTATTTCTGTCTTTCCCTCTGTCTCTTCCCTCTGTCTTCTCTCTCTGGTTAGTGTACTTCACATATTTTCTAGTAGGTTAATTCCGGGTGACTTGGTTAACATGCTGAATGCTGTTGGTATTGTTCTCTATTTTATGTGCCTTTTGGAAGAGGCCTTCTACACTAAAACATCTCCCTTAGAATTCCTTTTGAAAAATTCTCAGTTTCCGTTCCTTACTCCCACTAAAACCAGGGGTTTACTTTGTGTTTTTCAAGTGGTAACATGAATGATCTGTAATGGAATCAGACTGGGAAGAATTTGAATATTTTCAGAGAGAATATACTTCTAACCACTCTACCAAACCACAGGAACCCAGAATTCTTTCCTTTGAGTTGTGGATTACTTATTTGCTTCTCAGCAAACCAGGCTATATTCTGTAATATCAGGCTATAAAATTGTTTGATCATTTTCTTATTCAGGGTCACAGTTATACTCATTCATTTAGTTTGAGGCTTTAGATGATGCCTAATAATGAGTACAAATTCTAATTTGAGTGTAAACAAATAAAATTCATCTGTATGATCTGTGAACTTTGGATTTCATTGAGGATGCTAACTAAGGTCCCTTTTATAGTCTCTATCTTGAAGGGAAAGAAGTAAGACTAGTGAACTTCACAGCTCTGAAAGTTTGGCTGAACATTCAGCAATAGATAATTGTTGATTAAGAGCTTATCCTATGTCAGGCACCATACTAAGCACTTAACATAACCTGCTGACCTAACAAAACCATTTGAAGTAAGCCTCACTTCCTTTTAAAAAAAAAAAAAAGGAAGTCGTCATACTTGGGATGTTATATGAACATCTAACATTAGCAACTCCATTTCAATTTAGAGATTTCTAGACACACCCACTGAAGAAATGATGAAAAGAAGGGATAACCAGGACTAAGAAGGGATTTTAGAAAAATTAAAAGCTTGTGGAAGTACCCAAAAAGTGCAAAAGCAAACTCACCACAGTAACATAGATGATAATACCGAAAGGAATTCATAGCGATTCAAATACACTAAAATCTAGTGTGTTTTTGCTGTATTTGTCAGTTTTCTGTTTCTCTAGCAAATCCCTGAGGTAATAAGCTTATAAAGAGAAAAGTTTTTTCTTTTCTTTTTTTTTTTTTTTTTTAATATCTGGGAACTTGCTCATATGAACCTACAGCAATGGTGACAGCATGCACAATACCCATGCAAGCTGAAACCAGACAAAAACCCAGCATAGAAGTGGGGAAATGGATAAGAAGCCCCAAGCTTAGCTGAGAAACTAGTGGCAACTGATGATGACTTGTTGGGGAGGGAGAGTTGGTTTTCTTTAAGGGAACAACACTCGATAGGTTGACCAGGCTCAAGTAGATGGACTCACACCTAGAGACATTTGGGGATGTAAACATGGCTCGATAGGCTTTAACATATATGACAGAATACATGAAATCTGGTGGGGGGGTGCACATAGGGGAGAAGGCCTAAATATGATCAAGATATATGTATGAAATTTACAGAATTTCAATAAAAAAGTTTTATTTTGACTCACAGTTTTGGAGTGTCAAGGCTATGATTGGTTGGCTCATAGCTTTGTAGCTAGGGGCTACATAGTAGATCCTGTCTTGGAGAGAGAGAGAGAGAGAGAGAGAGAGAGAGAGAGAGAGAGAGAGAGAGAGACTGACTATAGCCACCTCTCATCTCAATAACAATCAAGCTTTTGGAGCACATTGAAGATACAAAGTTACAACTATTACCTTGGCCTAATAATATTTTATTGATGTAAAAATAATCAGAAAATGATGGAGCTTTTAATTGGGATGAAGATTTAAATTGGGAAGTGAGAATGTTCACATTGAGAAGGCAATATTTAAGCAAGGACTTGAAGGCGATGTGAGACTCTAAGGGGATATCTGACATACATAAGGTCCCTTACAGGACAAGAGAACAGCCAGCGCAAAAGATCTCAAGACTAGATAGAGCGTGCCTAGCAGAGCTGAGGAACAGCAAAGAAGCTATTGTGGCCAGAGAGCAGTGAGCAAGGGAGAGAGAGGATACTAGACAGCTGTGAAAATAGACAGTAGCAAGGATCAAGATTCTTTAGGACTTGAAGGCTATTTAAAGGATTTTAGGCTTTACCCTGGATTGAGATGGAATGACATTTGTGCATTTTCAGCCAAAGAATGCTCTGAGCTAACCTGTGACTGAAAAGATTCAGGAAGGTGATGAGATAGTTCAGTGGATTTAGCACTCACCCCACAAGCGTGGGGAAAACTGAATGAATGAATGAATGAATGAATGAATGAATAGAATCAGTTGAGCTTCTGTGTGATAGTTGGTACTAGGAGAGCAATGACAGAAGTAGAGTGAGAGACTGCAGCAATCGTCAGACCAGAGATAAGGGTGGTGCTGATGAGGATAGTGGAAGTGGTTACTCTCAGGATGTGTTTTGAAAGAGTCCACAGAACTTCCTGACAGCTTAGATACGGGTTTATGAAAAGAGAGTCCAGGATAACACCAGGGTTATCCACTGAAAGGAATTAGAGTTGTCCACTGAAAGAGAGAAGGAGCAGGTGGAGCTTCTTTGGGGATGAAGGTGGTTAAGATCAGTTTTGGATGTTTTAAATTAAAAACTATTTTTATTTGTTCTCTGGCAATTTCATACACACACACACACACACACACACACACACATATATATATATAATGTATTTTTGTCATACTCATCTTTGTTACCCCCTCTCATTCCCTCTGACCACCACCAACCACCTTCATCCCAACAAGTCCCCCTCCTACTTTCCAGAACATACTGAATTTTAAGATGCCCTGAGGGCTTTGGAGCTAATACTGTAAGATGTCATTGGCATTGGCATATAAAGGATATTAAAATGCATGCCAATGAAAAGGAATGTAAGTTTCATGATAATCTAGTATCAACAGGCAGGAAAATGGCAGAAAATTAACTTACCTTTCTTATAGTATTTCAGATAGGTCACTTCTTCTGATTCAATTTGAAGAGTTTGTCTAGCTAATTAATATAAATATATGTAAAGTAACCTGTAAAATTATGGTCATCCAATGTGTTTCTTTTCCTTGGATACATTTTATTATGTGAAGGGCAAGGCAGCTTAAATGGAGGAATGCATTTGGCTTTTTGACCAATTCTTTTATTTGTTATGATGAAATTGTAACTGAATTACATTTGCCTGCTTGCCTAGAAAAATGTCAGATAGCTTAATTACTAAAGAATAAAGGAAAATATAATATGATGTTAGACTGACTATGACAGCTGAAAGGAAACCAGTTCAGAGAACAAGAGCAGAAAACCAGCCAGGCACTGAGAAATAATAGCTCCGCCAATGGTTCCTCCATTTTGGAAGAGCATAGAAATCACCTGGATATCATAATATGCTATCTGACTCTCCAGATTTATTTAGGATGCTTTGATACTTGAGCATCAAGACTTTTAAAAGATTTCCAGGGGGGGTGCAATATATAGCAAAGTTTGAGAATAATGTATACTTGTTTTTTTTTATTTTGTTTTGTTTTGTTTTGTTTTGTTTGAGACAGTATGTTGCTGTGTAGCCCCACCTGTCCTGAAACTTGTAATCCTCCTGCTTCAGTTCCGCCCCCAAGTGGTAGGATTATGGGCCTACACCAATGTACCAGGATCTACCCCTCCCCACCACATCTACCATTAGAAGTCCCAGTACTCAAAATTCTTTCCAAAATCATTTTTATTCTTTGCTAGTACTCCAAATGGAAACATTTGTTTTAAAGACCCTAAGTCGTGCAGAACTGTTATCATTGTTGTAGATCTATAGCTGCTCTTTATATGACCATTTATTTGTAGCTTAAATGAAGCCTAGTTTGGAGGCAACTGTGATATCAAGGTAGCTGCATTACAGTTGGAATAAGGGGTCTTGGATGCAAATTATTCTACTTATTAGAGTTGTGATGGGCAATTCACTTAACCTTGCTGAATTTAAAAATTTTTTTCTAAGTTGTTTTCTCCCTGACATGAGAATAATAACCAAATCTGTTTTGCAGAGTTGTATAGTTTGCATGTGTGTGGTTTTTAAAAAATATGGTTTTAAAATTTCTGTTAACAGTGTGTGTGTGTGCGCGTGTGTGTGTGTTTGCAAGTGCAAGCAAACCACAGAGCATATGTGGAGGGCAAAGGACAATTATCAGGAATTGGTTCTCTCCTTCCACTTTGGGATTTGGGAATCAGAACTGGGCTGTCAGGCTTGTGTGGCAGGCACTTGTGTGGTTTTTGTACCAGCTGATCTTGCCCACTGAGCATATTCCTCTTGCCTCAACCTCCCAAGTAGCTGGGACATACAGAACCTTTGGAAGGATTTTTCTTAGTTTTAAAAGTGGTATAGTATAGTACGATGTAATAATTTCCTAGAAGTGGATAGATTTTTTTTCTTTATTTTTTGCTGCCTTTATTGTACTCTCTATATAGTTGATAATGATTGCAATTGAACTTGGTGTGTTTAGTAATGTTAATTTATATTATCCAAATAGTGGATAAAAACATGAGGTTTGGACTCAGATTTGTTTTTCAACACATGTTGCCACTTTACAGTAAATGTATGTTAGTAGACATGTGCTAAGCCTTGGGTTTCTGATCTTTCAGATTTGGAGTGATAATCTCTTTTATGGTTGTTTAGGGTTTGCATGTGAAGCCCCAAGCATAGTGGCTCACCCTAAGCATGCAGAAAGTGTTCATTTCCTTCGTGTCTCCAGGACAGTAATCTTAGAATAGTATTGGCAAAAATTTAATAATTTTTTTAAGAGCTAAGAAATGTTTTTTGTTTGTTTTTGTTTTATCAGACAGGGTCTCATGTAGCTCAGACTGGACTCAAACTCACTATGTACCTGAGGATGACCTTGAACTTCTGATCCTCCTGCCCTGCTTCCCCAGTCCTGAGATTATAGGTATGTGCCGCCATGCCCAGTGTTATGCATTGCTGAGGATCAAACCCAGAGCCTCCTGGATGCTAGGCAAGCTGTGTCAACTGAGTTACATCTTAAGCTCATAGCCATAATCAAAGATTGGCTTTACTTATTTTAACTTTTAAGTTTCCCTCTCTATGGACACTTTTTAAAGCAGTGCTTATTTTTTATGCTTTTTCAGATAATAAAGAAGAAATAATCTTAGGTTTACATCATGGACAATAACACAAAGGAGATGAATAACAATAACAAAGATGATCTTCTACTTAGGATGGGACTAAATGATAACAAAGCAGGAATGGAAGGATTAGATAAAGAGAAAATTAACAAAATTATAATGGAAGCCACAAAGGTATGTTTCTTCCTTCTTCCAATATCTATAATTCGGTTACTGTTCAACTTCCTACCTAAAAAATAATCATTAGGTTTTGATTGAATATCCTTTTTATTAATTAAAATTGTAATATATCATTAAGTTATGAAAGATATAATCAGCTTTCACATCTGTTCTTGCTATCAAGCTTTCTACTTTGAGTGCATATAATACACACATGAAAGCAAAAGAATGTACATGTTCTTTCCCTCTTTCCTTTTACTCCTATTGATAAAATATTATAATTATTAGGGTTTTTGTGCTTTCATGTGTGGATATAGCTTACTGATCTAATCAGAATTTTTACTGATGGATATAGAAGTCATTTCTAATCTTTTATTTTTTAGACAGTACTGCACTTAATAACTTTATATGTGTGCAAGTACAACTATAGAAGAAATACCTAGGAATGGAATATGCTATAAAATACATTTAGCATCTATATAGTTTTTTAGTTACTAATTACTCCCCATAGTGTCTTTGTCAATTTATATCTCTCCTCTAATATATGAATGTGTATACACACACACACACA